CCATCTGGAGAAGCAAAGGTGAAGCATGTGGCTAGACTCCCCTCACTTGACCCCTGGGAGTGAGGCTGCACCACGTGGATAGAATAATAGCTACCAGGTATTCAGTACATACTAGGTGCAAGAACCATCCATTTATTATTTGAACCCTGACAATAATTGGCCGCTACTTTTTCTCTGCCCATTTTAGAGGTGAGGAGACTGAGGTTCAAAGAGACTTGTTTAAGGTCAATGAATTCGAACCTAAATCCGGGGACTGCAGAGCTCTTTCCACTGTGAGGCATGGATTTTTATGATCTCTGTGGGGCTTCCTGAGAGGTGCTGATTGCCTCACCTAGAAACGGAGGAGGAGGAAAAGGAAGCCCCATCTAGTCTAAGAGGAGCATGTCCTGGCATAAAGAAAGTATATGAATTTTTCCCAATGATTCTACTTTCAAAGCTGGGTAATTTGGGGAATATGTCCTTACCACCACCTTTCAGGGGCAACCAGCATGGAGTGGAGGGGTCTGCTCTGTGAGCCTGGCTGTATGTGTGGTGTGGTGAGCTAGCTGTATGTGCAAATAAGGAGGGCAGCCTGGGCCCAGGGCTGCACTGCATTTCTTCCTGCTTCTGAGGCAGAAGAGCTTCCTGTTTATTTATTTTTTATTTTTTTAAAAGGTTTTTATTTTTATTTGACAGAGAGAGAGAGTGAGAGCACAAGCAGGGTGAGGGGCAGGCAGAGGGAGAGGGAGAAGCAGGCTCCCTGCTGAGCAAAGAGCCCGATGTGGGACTCGATGCCAGGACCCTGGGATCATGACCTGAGCCGACGGCAGATACTTAACCAACTGAGCCACCCAGGCGCCCCAGAGTATCTTCCTGTTTAAATGTTGCTTTGGGGGCTCCTGGGTGGCTCAGTTGGTTGAACGTCTGACTCTTGATTTCTGCTCAGGTTACGATCTCAGGGTCTTGGGATCGAGCGCCATGTCAGGTTCCACATTCAACAGGGAGTCCGCTTGGGATTCTCTCTCTCCCTCTGCCCCCCCACCCCCCGCTGTCCCTCTCTCTAAATAAATAAATGTTCCTTTGAATTGCCTACCTCACATCTATTGTTTGGATGGAAAAGAAAAAGCTTTCATTAGATAGAGTCAGTGTTCCAGAATGGATGGGTACTAACTAACCAAATATCTAAAATCTCACCATTCAGTGACTCCAAAGGACACCTTGGTTACCGCCTGTTTTAGAGAGCAGGTGGAACTAGATTATTTTCAACATGAAAACACACAATTGGGCTCTAACCAGGAAATGTTGCAGAGTATTGCAAAGCTCAGAGTGTACCTATCTTCTCAGAGCAAGTGAAAGGATTCTTGCTCAACTTGCTGCTTCTCCCAGTGAGCTCAGGTCAGTGGAAGGACAACACTAATTCACGTCCAGGTGTGCACATCTCTCCCTGCCGCATCGTGCTAAAAAGAAAGATCACTGTGCTTGCTTCCTTCCTCCCCCTGCTTCACTCTTCTGCCCTCTAAAGATACTTTGCTTCTGTCAGGTCAATTCCTGGCAATGAGTCCACAGACAAAGGGCAATGGAGAGCAAGAAAGAAAGATGAATCTAGAGAAAGATAATTTTTTTTTCTAATCAGAACAAAGACTTAAGAGCAAGAAAACGAATTGAAAGAAAGAAAAGACCGACACACACTGTCAGGGAGAAATCTAGGTGGAGAGTTAAATTTTAGTTAATGCTCTGGACAGACTGAGCCACATGGAGCCACAAGTATATCAGGGTTTCAGCACATCCAGTTGACTTTGGTCTGCAGCGCTTGGATGACTTGGAATTGAAGACTGTCTGAAAGCAGCTGACAAAGGCTAATATGGATATGGAAGACTTCCCTGGAGGATGGGATTTCGCCAGAATCTTGATAGGTAAGATCTCTTTAAGCAGATTGGGTAGGATGGACCTGGGGAGGATGGGCCCCCAAGACGAACAGACCATGGGCAGGAAAGCTGCTGGTGAGAGCTGGTGAGCACCACAGATGAACAAACTAAAATAAATAAATCTGTGAACCAACGTGTACGCTATACCAAGACACACAACCATGCATGCTGGCAGGGACCCAAGCACGTTGCTGCCCACTCTCTCAACATATATGAATGTCTGTAAGCTAAGGAATTTCTCCTTCCTCTCCCCACAACTAAATTTATGGCTTCCCCTTCTTGACGAACAGCACAGGGTAGAAACATCAGCACCATCTTCCACCTCTCCTTCACTTTTTTTTTTTTTTTTGAAGATTCCATTCATTCATTTGCGAGAGAGACAGAGAGAGAACAAGCAGGGGGAGAGGCAGAGGGAGAGGGAGAGCAGACTCCCCGCTGAGCAAGGAGCCCGATGCGGGACTCGATCCCAGGACCCTGGGATCATGACCCGAGCCGAAGGCAGACGCCCAACCATCTGAGCCACCCAGGCGCCCCCCACCTCTCCTTCACTTTGATCTCACCTAGCAAACCATCAATTCTACCTCTACGTGCTCCCTCCCAGCCAACCCCACTGTTTTCACTGAGGCCCGTGTCAACTCTCATGTCAGATCTCTGCAACTGGCTTGTCTGCTCTCTACAACCAATATTCTATGTCGTCTCCAGAGGATCCCCCAAAGCACATATGCAAACTTGTCACTTCCAGGCTTAAATATCTTGGTTAAGAGAAATGATAAAAATGATACTACAGGGGCGCCTGGGTAGCTCAGTCAGTTAAGCGTCTGCCTTCGGCCCAGGTCATGATCCCAGGGTCCTGGGATCGAGCCCCACATCTCGCTCTCTCTATCTCAATCAAATAAATAAATACATAAAATCTTTAAAATAAAAAATATGAGGGGCGCCTGGGTGGCTCAGATGGTTAAGCGTCTGCCTTCGGCTCAGGTCATGATCCCAGGGTCCTGGGATCGAGTGCCGCATCAGGCTCCCTGCTCCTTGGGAGCCTGCTTCTCCCTCTGCCTCTATCTCTCTGTCTTTCATGAATAAATAAATAAAACCTTTAAAAAAATAAATAAAATAAAATAAAAAATATGATACTACAAATGATAGTACAAGACTTACAAGAAAACCGCAGTGATCAAAACAGCATCATACTGGTATATAAAGAGACAGATTCAGGAAAACAGAATATAGTTCAGAAATACTCAACTACTTAAGGGCACTTAGTATACTAAAGGATGGCTTTTCATATTGGTTGTGGGGGAAGACAAATTATTGAATAAGTGGTGTTAGGTACCCTGAGAAGCATTTAAAAAAAAAAAAAAGAATTGGATCTCTAAATCTTTCCTTCTACCAAAATTAATAAAAGAATCACATTTTAGAGTTTAAAATGTAAGCAATAAAAATACTAGAAAATAAATAGGTAAACATTCAATAAATTGTGTTGGGAAAACCAGATAACCAGATGCAGAAGAATGAAATTGGACCCCCATCTTACATTGGTCACAAAAATGAACTTGAAATAGAATAAAGACTTAAACATAAGACCTGGAGCCATTGGCAAAGATTATTTTGCATATGACTCCAAAAGCACAAGCACCAAAAGCAAAAATTAATAAGTGGGATTACATCAAACTGAAAAGCTTCTGCACTGTGAAAGAATCAACAAAATGAAAGGGAATGGGATGAGAGAAAATATTTGCAAATTATATATCTATTAAGGGGTTAATATCCAAAAGATGTAAAGAACTCGCACAACTCAATGGCAAAACAAAACAAAACAAAAAAAAACAAAAAAATTCCCTATCCGATTAAAAATATGGACAGAGGAACTGAATAGACATTTTCCCAAAGAAGACACACAAATGGCCATCAAGTACATGGAAAGATGCTCAGTATCACTCATCATCAGGGACATGCAATTCGAAACCACAATGAGATATCATCTCACACCTGTTAGAATGGCTACCATCAAAAAGATAAGAGATAGTGTGGGTGGGTACCCAGGGAAAAGGGAATCCTTGTGCACTGTTGATGAGAATGTAAATTGGTGCAGCTACTATGGAGAACAACAAGAAGTTTCCTCAAAAATTTAAAAATAGAACTGCCATGGAGCACGTGGGTGGCTCAATCAGTTCAGTGTCCAACTCTTGATTTCGGCTCAGGTCATGATCTCAGGCTCATGGGATGTAAGCCTGCATGGGGCTCTGAGCTCAGTGGGGAGTCTGCTTAGGATTCTCTCTCTCTCTCTCCCTCTGCCCCTCCCTCCTGTGCACACTCTCCTCTCAAATAAATAAATCTTATATATATATATATTTTAAGATTTTATTTATTTATTTGAGAGAGAGAGAATGAGAGAGAGAGAGCACACATGAGAGGGGGGAGGGTCAGAGGGAGAAGCAGACTCCCTGCCGAGCAGGGAGCCCGATGCGGGACTCGATCCAGGGACTACCAGGATCATGACCTGAGCTGAAGGCAGACACTTAACCAACGGAGCCACCCAGGCATCCCTAAAATAAATAAATAAATAAATAAATCTTAAAAAAAAAGAGAGAAAGAACTACCATATGGTCCAGTAATCCCACTTCTGAGTATATATCCAAAGGAAATGAAACCAGGAAGAGGCTTTTTAGGCATGACATAAAAGCCAGAGACATAAGAAGAAAACAGTGAACAGGGGCTCCTGGCTGGCTCAGTCAGAAGACCATGCAACTCTTGATCTTGGGGTCATGGGTTCCAGCCCCATGATGGGTGTGGAGATTACATACATACATACATACATACATTAATTAATTAATTAAGAAAATAAAACACTGGACAACCCCCCTTCCGAAAACAACACCAATAAAAAAACCCTGAAGACAAAAACAAAACCAAAAAAAGGCATCAACTAAGTAAAAAGATCAAGGACAATTGGCAGAAAATATTTGCACCATATATGAAATGACCAAATGTTAATTGCATTGAGATATATATATATATATATATATATATAAAGCACCTACAAATCAAATCAGTTTTAAAGAAACCAACAACAAACCAATGGAAAAATGAGCAAGGTACCTCAACAGTGTGTAGCAGAGGAAGAAGACATGACTTCATATAAGCAAAGATGTTCAGGCTCACTCCTGAAAAGGGAAATGCAAATTGATGTGATAGTGAAATGCTATTTTTCACCGATCTGATTAATAAAGCTTAAAAAAACTTGATAAGGGGCGCCTGGGTGGCTCAGTTGGTTGAGCGACTGCCTTCAGCTCAGGGCATGATCCTGGAGTCCTGGGATCGAGTCCCTCATCTGGCTCCCTGCTCAGCAGGGAGTCTGCTTCTCCCTCTGACCCTCTTTCCTCTCGTGCTCTCAGTCTCTCATTCTCTCTCTCTCAAATAAATAAAATCTTTTAAAAAAAAACTTGATAAATTGTATTGGTGAGGGTGTGAGGAAACTCATATATGACAGTGGGGGGAAGGCATTGTAAATTAAACCTCTATGGAGGATAATACAGCAATATCTACAGTTAACCCTTGAACAACACAGGGGTTAGGGGCACTGGGGATAACAAAATACCCCCATGCAGTCGAAAATCCACATACAACTTTTGACCCCCAAAACTTAACTACTAATAGCTTATTGTTAACCAGAAGACTTACTAATCGCATGCATAAACAGTCAATTAACACACATTTTGTGTGCTATATGTATTATGTACTGCATTCGTACAATAAAGTAGGCTGGACAAATGAAAATGTTAAGAAAATAAGGAAAAGAAAATATATTTACAGTCCTGTAAACAACTTGCAAGGAAGTGGACCTGCACAGTTCAAACCCGTATTGTTCAAGAGCCAACGTATAATTAATGTTGTAAGTATCCTTTGATTTAGCAGCTCTGTTTCTATGAGTTTCCCAAGTAAGTCAAGGATATAGACATTTTGGCACTGTTTATAATGGCAAAAGGTTGGAAACAACCTAAAAGCCCATCCACAGGAAATTCATTAAATAAAAATGGTACAGGAATCCAATGGAATTCTATGTAACACTTAAAGAAAATGGGGACACTTTTACTGTGTCCTGGTGCAGAACCATCTCCCCGACACATTGTTAAGTGAACAAAGCAAGATGTCTTGGGGAAGGGGAAGTGGGGGCTGAGTGCTGCATTTAGAAAAGAGGGAGGTTCACTTTTCAGTTTATCTCTGCAGCTGATCTCCAAACCTATTGCCCCTTCTTCGGGGCACACATCTCATTTTCCAGACTCCCTTACATGGAGGAACAGCCAAGTGACTGAAGACCCAATGAAACAGGCTCAGACGCAAAAACTTCCCCTGTGCCATCCTTAATGCTCTTTTTTCCTCTGGTTGTCTGAAATGACACTGAGCTCCACCGTGACTTTGGGACCGTGACTTTGGGAATCAGGTATTAACCCCAGAGTCATACACAGAAAAGAGCCTGGGTCCCTGGGCTCCTCCCTGGAGGGGAACATCTGTGTGAGAAACAACGTGAGCAGGGACTTTATTATATGTAGTCACTGGAATTTGGTGGCATATCTGCTATAGCAGCTGTTAATTATTTTGTTATCCTTTTGCTATCACATTAGCTCTTTAAGGCAAAACAAAACACACACACACACACACACACACACACACACCCCACACATACCTCACATAACCATGTGTGTCTCCTTCAGATCTTAGAACACCTTTGCCTGGTACTTAACACCCGGCATTGGTCAACCTCTTCAGCCTTAGCTCCCGTGGCTGGAGCCTCAGTAGTAACAACCCATACACTTGCTGCCTAGATCTGCCCCTTTCCTCTGCTCCTCTTCTGTCAAAACACAGCCCAGATTTCCCTGCCAAGTTTCTTCACCTCCTCCTCGGACTTTTGCTGATATTGTCTGGTTGAAATGCACACAGCTGACCTTGTATCCATCCCCCTTCCTAGGCGAACCTGCTGATTCCTCCCTGCCTCCCCAGTGCCCACCTCCAGGATGTTCCCGGAATTAAACAGTTTGCAAGATCCTTGCCCCCACCCCTGCTCTCTTGTAGTCCATTAGCCACAGAATGAGAAACCCGTGAGTTTAAGATGCAAATCAAGCAAGGCATCCTTCTGTGAACTCCTCACCACTCTGTGTAAGATCTTCCTAAGACAATTCAGGTCTCACCTGTCACTTCCTGACCAAAGGATTTAAAAGCAGTGCTCTCTGCTCCAACTGTGTCTTCACCCTATTCGGTATCTTCACATTCCTTACCACTCTCCGAAATTACCTCCTGTTTAGTTTAAGGTCGGCCTCCCTCACTAGAGTGTAAGCCCGCGTAAGTCAGGGCCAGGGTTGTTCCGGGTCAGGCCTGTCCACATTAGGGTTCAGGCACACACAGAATTCTCGAGGTCGGGTTATTGCGTATACCCGGTGCGCCACGCGGGGGGCTGGAGCGGGGCACAGAGGGGAGCCGAGGGGGATCAGCCCGGGGCCGGGGGCCGCAGGGGGCGCCGCCGGGCAGCTCCGCCCGAGACCCCGGGGGAGGTGGCGGACACCCCCCCCGCGCCCCGCCCCGCGCCAGCCCATTGGCGGGCGCGCCAGGGGCGGGGAGAGGTCGCGGTCGCAGTGACGCGCCCCCCACGCTCCACCCCCCACCGCCCCAGCAGCGCCAGCCCGCCGCCGGGCACACACCGTCCTGCACGCCCGCGCCCTCTGCAACATGTTGCGCGCCGCTGCGCTTGCCGCCGCTGGCCTCGGGCCCCGCCTGGGCCGCCGTCTCCTGTCGGCCGCCACCACCCAGGCGGTGCCGGCCCCCAACCAGCAGCCTGAAGTCTTCTACAACCAGGTGAGGCCGCCGGCCCCGGGGCTTTGTTCTCTCGGGGATAAGGAGCCCGCCGGGTGGGAAGGCCCTGGGTCTCTTTGGGTTCCAGAGGTTTGCTGCCTTTGGGCTTTACGCACACCTTCCCTTTCTTCCCGCGAGCATTTTGGCCCCTTCACTGCCTCTGACAACCCCTGTTCCATTCTCCAGCTGTGACTTGGGCCGCTTATTTGTTCTCGTCCGGCCGCCGTCCGTTTTCCTGCGCCAACTCTCGGGGTTCCATTCTCCGCCCCTCGGCCTCTTAGTCGCCGCAGTGTCTGCAGAGGGCTTTCACCATCACCCACCCAGACGACATTTCCATCCGAGTCCGGCTTAGCGGGACCTTTTCTGTCTTTTCCTTGGTCATTTCTTATCCCTTCACTCTTGCCCACGTCCAAGTAAGTCCAAAAGGAAAAACAAGAAAAGGAGGGGGCCTTCTCAGCTGAAGTTCACCCATTCGCTAAGGAAAAAGCCAAGGTCCCTCGGCCGGGAGCGCCCAGGGTCCGCTGCTGGGAATGGGGAAACGGTGCGGGACCTTCGCCTCCGGGGCGCCATCCGCAAATGGTGTCCGCGCCCTCCAAGGATCAGGTTTTCTTCCAGCAAACCAAGGAGGGGCTTTCCAGGATCACACCGATTCTCAGAGGCCAATTTCTTGCTCAAGCAGGACTTTGGAATAGTCTCTCTTTTGATCTTTGAGTTTGGGTAAGGTGCTGGAATTCACAGAGAAGGAAATCGTTGTGAAAAGAGTTCGTTTTGTATGTGCAACAAATTGCCCTTCTGTGAGCTTCCAATTTCTTCTTCTGTAAAGTAGGAAGTGGGTGAGTGGGTCAGCACCGGGCCTGGTACACTTGGTGAGCACTTACAGCAATAACAGCTATTCTCTGTGCACCTGGCACCATTCTGTTTTGTTGTTTCATCCTTACAACAGACCAGTGAGGTGGGCACTGTGATCATCTCCATTATTATAGATGAACAGCCTGAGTTACAGAGAGGTTTCGTGAGTTGTCCAAAGATTGAAGCCAGTGGCAAAGTTGGGGTTCACATCTAGACTCCCAAGAGAAAGCCTCTAACCAGAACATTCTGTGCTACTATTGATGCAACTCAGGGTTGGAATAGAGGGGTAATTGCTGATTTTTAGGATGCCATAGAGCTGATCCCTGGCCGACTACTTTCAACAGTGGACCTGCTTGTCTGGCCCAGAGCTGGGCTGCAAATGTGCACACAGGTGGTGGGTAAAGGCACATCTGTGTGATTGTAAGGAGTTACAAATGGTCATTTGCGAGGGAATAAAAACAAAAGATAAAATTTCCTTTGGGTAACACAAGCCCCAAATGCAGTCGCTGTTGTTCTTTTGGTAGGCTGCTTAATGAGTTCATGTTTGGAAGACTTGAACATCAGAAAAATCACACAGAAATATCCTTAAGGGAAAGGTGTCAGCACCCCAAGTCTTTGTGGACACAAGATCTAATTAAGGTCTTCCTCCTTTGTGGTCACATGGAAGTGAGGAAATGGCATCCAAACGTAAGTGTCTTGTAGATAGCGTGAGTCCTGCTCTCCAGACTTAGTCTGGGCATGTGAGTTGGAGAGGAGTGCAGTCTCCTGCAGCTTCTTTCCTTTATCACATTTTTTGAGATCATAAAAGTAACAGTTGCTCACTGAAAAAATACAGAGCACTGTAAAACTTCTCCCTCTGCCTCTGCCTCTCTCTCTCTCTGACTCTCATGAATAAATAAATAAAAAAAAAAACATTAAAAAAAAAAAAAAAGAAAAAGCAAATGCCAGCAAGAATCTCCCCAAGACAGAAAACCGCCCCATTTGCTCCCTCACCCTTGGGGAAAGTAACATATTCTAGGGATGTAGATTTCCTAGGTAACAAATCCCCAATTCTTTTTTTTTTTTTTTAAGATTTTATTTATTTATTTGACAGAGACACAACGAGAGAGGGAACACAAGCAGGGGGAGTGGGAGAGGGAGCAGCAGGCTTCCCGCAGAGCAGGGAGCCCAATGAGGGGCTCGATCCCAGGACCCCGGGATCATGACCTGAGCCGAAGGCAGACGCTTAACGACTGAGCCACCCAGGCGCCCCCCCTTTTTTCGAAGATTTTATTTATTTATTTGAGATGGAGAGAGCATGAGAGAGACAGAACACGAGCAGGGGGGAGGAGCAGAGAGTGAGGGTGAAGCAGGCTCCCCGCTGAGCAGAGAGCCCGAAGGTGGGGCTCGATCCCAAGGACCTGGGATCATGACTGAGCCTAAGGCAGAGGCTTGACCAACTGAGCTACGCAGGGCCCCACAAATCCCCAATTCTTTCATGCATCAAAGCTTGAATTAAAATCTTTCTAGAATGCATCCCGTCTGCTAAATCGGAGCTACTGAACACCACTGAACCTGTTTTTGAAGACCTTGCACAGATGATGACTGTCCAGTGCCTTGGGGTGGGGGTGGCACTGGAATGTTGCTCTGTCCTCGCCTTGGTTAGGCCTCCTCCCTGGGGTCCGCAGCTTCTAGGCACCCACCACACCACCCAGGTTTCTGGAGGCAGCCCAAGGATCACGTTAGCCTCTAACTCAGCAGTTTTCTGGTATTTATACACGGTTATCTGTCCCAAGTTCACAGAGATGCGCATCCAAGGCTGTTTGCTGCAGCAGTGCTGTCAGGAACAGTGAAATCCATCCTAAAAGTGCACATGTAGGAAATGCTTACATAAACTGTGGTCTGTTCATATTGAGGACTGCTGTGTTGCTTAAAATAATGGGGCGATCTGCTTGTGGAATAATGTCCAAGAAAAACTGTTACTGAGAAAAGCAAGTGAAGAAATTAGAAAGTCGATCCCTGCTCAGAGCAGACGCTCCCGCCTCTGTCCCATTCCCTCTGTACCCCCGCACACAGCAGGCGCGGGATCCAGAGCCCCCTTCTCCTATCCCTCACCCTTACTCTGCAGCCACCGGGCCCTTTGGTTTCCTCCTGTCCCCAAGCTCTTCCTTTAGGTCCCCCCTCAGTTGCCATTTGACTCCCTGGCCTGTTCCTCATTGTTGCCGGTTTGTTTCTGCTTCTCGCTTTGTTGGTCTACTTACTGATTGCGTCTCTCCTCCTCAGGACTTAAGCTCAAGGAGCCAGGACTTTGCTTTCTCACTCAGTGCCCAGCATGGCCATGGCACTCCGTTAAAACTGAGGGACTGCATGGATGAGTGAGTCCAACTTGTGCAAAACGAAGGGAGACATATTAAAATATGGAGAAAACACAGCACGCTGATGGAAAAGCTCTAGGAATTTTGCCAGCAGTCCCCAGATTCAGAGCGTGAAGCTCCTGATGTCACTGGGATATGAAGAAGTGTGAGTGGGGAGAACACCCACCAGGGCGACCGAGTTAAGCCTGTTACGGAAGTCAAGCTTTGGGTTTCGGGCCGGGAGGTTATGAAACATTTGGCCTGATATTGGCCCTTGTGTTTACTTAAGTGAATGTGGTGAAACTCTCCTCGCTCGAAGCAGAACTTTGGCCGGGGCTCAGGAAGAAAACAACTGCTAGCCTGCTCCCCATCCCTGAGCGAGGGCGGGTCAGGAAGACCCCTGAAGGCTGGCTCTAGGAGGAGGGAAATGGGAACTAGAAACAGAAGGAAGAGTCTAGGTTCCTGCTTGGCAAATTCAGGCTTATTTTATCAGCGAGAAAGAAGGATGGATTATTGAAAATTCAACGATGGAGAGTGACCCAGCAAGTTCAGGGCTTTGAAAGGCAAATAGGTGCCAGGGAGCGGTCCTAGTCTTAAGATCAGGGAAACAGCGTGGGCCCTGCCCAGGGAGGAAGGGGTGAGGACTGGGGGTTCGGCTGACTGGCCTACCTCTCTGCTTCTTACTTCCTGATCTTTGCAAAATAACAATGAAAACTTTTTCGGGACAAACTAATTTAGTGTGCGGTGGTACAGGGAATAACACAGGCAAAGGTATACGGATCTGCCTGACTTTTGTTCCTAAAAATCTTTGACTTGAGAGAGCCACAGGATCCAGAGCTTTGTCATAGTGACTGCTGTGGTAAGAGCCACTGTGTGCAGAGTCCTGGCTCAGGAGCTTTATACCCCTGTTACATTTAATCCTCACATCAGCCCCAGACAGATTCTCCTGAGGGATTGATGAAGCATCTGGAAGTGGAGGGATTGGCCCAAGGCCCCAGCCAGTGAGGGGCAGAGGCAAGATTCAAACCCAGGTCTGTGTGGCTTAGAGGTGGTTACTTTTTACACTACCCAGAATAAAACCTCAAAATCAGACCTGCAGTTGGGCAGTATGTAAACCATGAAGATGGAGATTAGGAAACAATCTGACCTCCTTGAAGGCACACCTGGGCTCTGACTGGAGTCTGGACCTGGAGGAGAAGCAGCTAAAGAGCACAGGCCTTGGAGTTCACCAGGAGGGGGAAGCCAATTCTCAGCACGTGCACAGGGCTTGGCCCACTGGAACTCAGGGCCCCTGGGCTTCGAGCCAGACCTCTTTCTGCCACACCCTATCCCCCCACTGGAAACTACTGATTGCCTGCTTCTCAGCAACAAAGGTGTCTGTTTCTCTCAAGATAAATGAACA